GGCCAGGTAGTTCTGTTGGTTAGAGCATCACCTGATACACAATGGTTGCGAGTTGGATCCAAGGTCAGGTCACATATAAGAATCAACCAGTGAACCCATAAATAAGTGGAACAACAAATTGATGGCTCTCTCTCAAATCAATAAATATAGTTACCTCAATAAATTCAATTAAAAATACAAATAAATTTTTAAAAAATCTTTTTTAAAAAATCCTCACCCAAGGAATGCTTATTGATTTTAGAGAGAGGGGAAGGGAGGGAGAAAAAGAGGGAGATAAACATCAATTGGTTGCCTTTTGTAAGTGCTCCAACTGGAGACCAAACCTGCAACCTAGGCACGTGCCCTGACTGGCAACCAAACCAGAGACCTTTCAGTTTGCAGGACAACCCCCAACCAACTGAGCCACATTGGCCAGGACATAAAAATAAATCTTTAAAAAAACAACAAACTAAAATGTCCACTCCCAAATAAAATGAGGGTCATAAAGCATTTTCCAAACAGCCATAAAATTAAGACTTGGTGCTTATCCTCTGATCATCTAGTTTGTATAGATTTTGGACGTTAGCACTTAAGGGTTAATAAGGCCCCTTCATGTCATTTCAATAAATACTCAATTTTATGGAAGAGTTTCTACTATGGAAGACAATTTACATTCTCTCATAACCTAAGTTTAGTAAAGACATTCAAGAAATGTAAAAATTAATTCACATAACCATAACAAAAATCCTTTTAAAGCACCTCTAATTTAACTGTTGAGGTGATAGTAGAATTTAAACCAATAGGGTAACATCTGATCAATACGTGTTAACAAAAAAGGAGTTTTATTTAATTGGAATAAGAAAGATATCTCAAACTATAAAATTTCAGGGAGTAAAAGAAAGCATTCCTTCAACATAAGGCATAATTTTGTGCTTTGCTATTCCCTTGGTATATTTGCAATATGAATTATACTGAAGTCACAGCCTACAATTTAGATAAATAAAATAAAGCCAGTATTGAACTTTTTCCCATCCCATACACCAGTATCCTTGGCAGCTCCTTGGCAATCTATTATGATCCTGACCAATTTCTCTCTGTGGCAATTTAAAAGCTGTAAAAAAAATACATAATGGGTGATGACAGGAGAAACAAACCCACACCAGAAATTATTGAACCTTGTAGGTCTTTGCAAGTGTCTCTACTGACATTTAAGTGTGAGTTACTATGCCACAATATCATAAAAGTGTGCTCCACACTTCAGATATATTGATAGTTAAATGCAACGAAAGGCCACCGTCAGATAAACGGCTAAAGGGATAGCCAATCTCAGACCACCCAGCACCTCCACTGAGCATTCTGACGTGTTACTTAAGACAAAAAAGATGTTCCTGACTCTCTTTTTGTCCAGCTCCCAACTACAATCCTGATTCAAACCCTATACCAAAAGGATGATTAATATAGTAGTTCTACTCCTTCCTCTAAAATGGTTTGGTTGGGCCCTGACCAGCGTGACTGGCTTAGTTGGTTGGGAGTCATCCTGCAAAGCAAAAATGTCGCCAGTTTGATTCCTGGTCAGGGCTCATGCCTGGGTTTCAAGTTTGGTCCTTGGTGCTGGTGCATAATAAAGGCAACTGATTGATGTTTCTCACATCAATGTTGCCCTCCCTCTTTTTCTCCCTCCCTCCAAAAATAAATAAATAAAATCTTTAAAAAATAAATAAAACTGGTTGATTACGGGATATTTATTGAGGGCTTAGTAAGCGTCAAGCATTGCAGTGCTTTGAGTCTAGCCCAGTCTTCAATTCAGTGACTAAAGATTCTAATAGTTTGTGCTTGGTTAAATCAGTCTCCAAAGGTCGTTACAAAAAAAAGCTACTAAAGGGGCAACTTGTTAACAATGGTAAGATCAGGACTGGGAATAAGATGTGAGTCCCCTCCCAACTAAATAAATCACTGAAAGATCAAACTGGACAGTTTCCTTAACCTTAAGGGTATTAGTTACTTGTCCTACTTATAGGTCTGTTGTGTGAGAAAAATAAAACTAGAAAATACTTTAAAAATGTAAAGCAATGGAAGTTAAATGTCTGATAGCAGATGAAATGAAAAATAACAAATGCTTTGATAAGTGTTCCCTCCTCTTCTATTTTCCCAAAGACTTTGTGTAGAATTAGTACTATTTCTTAACTGTCTCTTAAAATTCAACAGTAAAGCCATCTGGACCTGGACTTTTCTGTGGGAAGGTTTTTAACTACAAATTCTATTCCCTTAACAGATAGATAAAGGACTCGTGAAGTTCTGTATTCTTAAGTGAGCTTTGGTAGTTTGTCTTTCAAAGAGATGATTCATTTCAAGACACTGAATATATTGGCATAATTGTTAATAATATTCCCTTATTACTGGTTTAATGTCTATATGGATCAGTAATGATAAGCCTCATCTTATTCCTGATACACCTAATTTGGATCTTCTTTTTTTATTCCTGATCAGGCTTGCTTCGTTTATTAATTTTACTGAAATACCCTCTTTCAGTTTTATTGATTCTTCTCTGATTTTGTTCTATACTCTGTCAACTACTTACTGCTTCCTTTGGGTTTAATTTACTTTTTCTACGTTCTTAGGACAGAAAACTAGGTCACTAACTTTAGACCCCTTTGCTTTTTTTCTTTAAATTGATTTTTAGAGAGACAGGAAGGGGAGGAGAGAGAGACAGGAAGAGAGAGAGAAAGAGAAATATCAATTTATTGTTACATTCATTTATGCACTCATTGGTTGAATTTTGTATGTGCCCTGACTGGGGATCAAACCTGAAACCTTAGTGTATGGGATGATGCTCCAATCAACTGAACAGGGCCCAGCCAGGGCCCAGTTCAAAATATTTTCTAATTTTCTTCGTGATCTCATTTTATCCATGGGTTACATAGAAATGTGTTAACATAATTGTAGATGTATATGTGTTTTCTTAGTAATTCAATTCTTTATTGTTAGTTGTGCAAAATTTAGGACTGTTGTGTCCTCTGGATGAATTGATCCCTTTATCCACTAATCTAGTGTTAGCTTTATCCCTTACCTGCCTCATGTCTATTATGGAAAAAGGACAAGAAAACTCTGGAAAATATACAGGAAACTGAAGGTAAAATGTTTGATGATATAGGAAGTTAAAAATAACTTTAATGAATTTTCTGAACTATCTGTTTTATCTATGCTTGTTTCCAGCTACTCATATAAATGAGGTTTGTCTTTTATCAGATCCTCTGATATAATTTATTGTTGTAAAGTACTGAACAAATTAGCAGTATATTACACTTTACAATTCCATCTGAGGTAAATGAGTCTTACTGATTTACTCCATGTGCCTTGATGAGAAACAAGGCACATGAAGTCCAAGTATTTGCCTCAGAAACCAAACTTGAGATTTCCCAACCTGTTAATTGACCTCTTTAGCACAGGGCATTTTATTCCGACATAATTATGCCTTCTGGCTCAGATATAAATTTGCTTTATTCTAACAAATGTAGATTACAATCAGAAAAATACTTGAATTCAATTTGGTTTCTCCTCTCCATGGAAGAAACAGATAATGAGTGTTATAAAACTTGATCTTGAAATAGTCCTTTCAATGCTACCACCTGAATCCCATGCTTTCTAGTGTCCTCCCTAGCAATGGAACAAGGACTCAATAAGTTTGAAAAGTAAGACTGCATGTGAAAAATTCTAAAACTAGGCCTATGACCTAGTTTCAAGTAGAAAAAAATCTGTCAGTGTTTAATTTTGACAAACTACTCTTACTAGAAAGGAAATCCAGACTACAAAGTCCACAGCCTCATTAAGATGAAAACAGAAAATGGCCCAGCTAGTCCATTACAGTCTTTTTAGAAAATCACACACAATTAACAAGTACAGATTTGTTATCCTGTGTTAACAATACTCCAGGGAGTTGACAACCAGCCAACAATTCAGTCTTCTGTCTCTCAAGTCCTAGGCAAGATCACACCACAAAACTACATTGACCCAAAATACTGGGTAAGTTCTTGATTTGCATTTAAAATTACTGACTTCAAAAACAAATTCTAAGACATTTTAGGAGTCACTTCATACAAGTGTTTGGTCTAGAAGGCTATTAGCTATTATCTACACAAATCTTTCCATATACTATAGGGTGAAGAAACTAAGGACCAAAGAGGACAAATGCTCACCCAAGGTTACTGTATCATTATTTAATGACAGAAATAAGAACCCATGTCTCCCGAGCCTTCCCCCCCCACCACTTGCCTGCCTCTCTCTCTCGCTAAGTAATCTTTTCTTTTTTGAATTAGGTAAAATTTATTTGGTTAGGGATTAGAGAACCAAGGAGGGTATACTGATCTGAATGATGGCTCCAAAAAAAGATATTCATGTCCTAATCCCTAGAACCTATGTATATTTCTTTATATGGCAAATGATGTGATTAGAAGATGTGAAAGGAGAAGTTATCCTGGATTATCCCAGTGGGCCTTAAATGCAATCACATGTATCCTTACAAGAGGTAGAAGACGGAATTCTGAGATAAATAAAGAAGAAAATGTGAAGACAGAGAAAAGAAAGACGAGGCCACGAGATGAGGCTGACAACCACTTAGAAGGTAATAAAGGAAAGGGACGGTCTCTCCCCTAGAGCCTCCAGAAGGGGCTCAACACCTTAATTACAGAATTCCTGCCTTCAGAATGAGAGAATTTATTGCTATTGTTTGAAGCCACCAAGTTTGTGGTAGTTTGTTACAGCAGTAACAAGAAACTAACACACAGGGAGACCAAAAAAAAAACCAAAACCAAAACCAAAAACAAAACAAAACAAAAAGAAACCCTGAAGAAAAAAAAGAAACTAACACAAAGGGGAAATAAGATTTTTAAGTCATAAACTGGCTATGTATAAAACTAATTATCAATCACAAAAGGAAGTATGCTTTAAGAGACCCAAAGATTATATAAAACCTCTAATCCCTCGTTTCAAAGGGTAAATTGAGGCAACCACAGGATGCAATTTACCTGAAAATATTGGAAGATCTAAGAAGACAGGCTCAGAAAGGCTTAATATTTACATAGCCGCTAGGAAAACCAGTGTATGTTTTCCCCAACAATGTAGCTGGTAGAGCTCCTGGACAGACTAAACATAGGCAACAGTTGTCACTATCAGTGTTCTGCCAACACAAGTGTAAAGCTGTCATCAGAAATAAATATGTGGCTTCAAGTGGCTCACAAAAGTCCAACAAATCTGCATCTTGGACTCTGCACAAGCCAACTCTTCTCAAGATGACCTGGACTCCTTCCCATTAGTTCAATGATCAGCTAAAGCCATCCTCTACAAGGAGCAAAGGAAAATCAAAGTTTACATCAGGGAAAAAAGATGAGAGCCCAGAGTCCAAGTTCATGAATAACAACATATAAATAGCAACCATATTGAGTCCGTTACAAGTGATATTTCACACTATAATTTATTATTTTTTAAAGTGAATATCCACAGCACTGGTTTAGGCCCAATGTAAGGTGAATAGAAATAAAAATAGAGCAAGTAAAAAGAACAAAAAAGGAAAGAAATGTTTTACCAGGAGTTGTTGAATGGGCTATTCCAGTAAGACAAATAAATCATGCTATGTTTTTAAATAAAATACCTCAAAAAAAAGCAAAAACTACTTGTCTTCCTCAGAAACCTTTGTACCCTGGACACGTTTCTCTTTTCTAGGGCTATTGTCAGGTCTCTAAAAACCACCAGAACTTTCCTAGACATATAACAACCCAGTTACTTCAGAGGTATATTCTTTCTTTTTTCTCAGACGTCATTCTGCTCACCTGATTGATTAGTTTCCAGTAAAGACATGTTATTTTCCCCTTCTAGTTTTGGCGGCAATAATATGCCTGAGACCTAAGCACAAGTGCTTGAAATTTAATTTTTATAACAGAGTCTCAACATTTTGTCTTGTTAACAACCAAGCCAGGTTCTCCAAATGCAAGAAAAAAAGTCTAAAGTAAGAATTTTCAATGTGATATTTTCGGAACTTCAATGAAAAATTACCCACTGAAATTTTCCCACCAGAGAAATGTTCATCAGACCTAGTAAGTATGACATTGTAAGAGACTTCACAATAAAACAAGCAATTTTTACTTGCATGCCATTGTACCCCAAAACTCTATGTTCAAAATCCTGAAATCTTTCAAATTAAAATATATAAAAAAATACATAAATTTATAAATATTAAGTAGCTGGAGCTGGAAATAGGAGGAATCCATTCAGAGAGTAACCTAAAGTAGCATAATTTGGTTACCTAATCTACAGATTAGTTGTTTTTTATTTCTCTCTGAAAAGTGCTATGAATAGCTATGAAATCAGTTCAGCAGAAAATGACCTATGTTTTTAAGAAAATGAAGTAATATACTGTAGATGCAATAAATATCAGACTGCTTTGCACATTTATTTGTACAGTGAAACATTTCAATGTTGTGGACAGGGTCAGTATAAAATGTGTTTCTGAGAAACAAGGTCAAAAAAAAATTTGAGAAACTGATCCAAAAGAACCCCAGTAAAGAGGCTTAACTCTGATGAAAGGCAAGAAGCATCTAAATCAAGTCTACCTTCTCAGAAAACATTATCTGGCATTATTTTAGGACAGCGGTCTCCAACCTTTTTGGCACCAGGGACCTGCTTGGTGGAAGACAATTTTTCCACGGGGTGGGGGGAGGAGGAAGAGGGCAAAGGGGGGCGGAGCTCAGGCAGTTTTGCACACTGGCCCGCCCTGCTCACCTGCTGCTATGCCACTGGATTCCTAACAGGCGATTCCTAACAGGTCTCAGACCAATACCGTTCCACAGGCCCGGGATTGGGGACCCCTGTTTTAGGAAGCCAAACATAATTTGCAATCAATGGTAAAAAGCTTACTAATGAAAATTTCCTTTTATCTAATGAAACAATGATCACTCTATAGCCAAAGAAATAATTAGGTGTTAGTGATCCATTTACCAAAGACCACTTCCTAAACTCTTCACCCATCTTCTCCCTCAAATTTCCAACTGGTTAAAGATTTTGACAAGAAAATCAACTCTAGCACCTGTCATTTTAGATCAGTGGTTTTCAACTGGTCGAGATTTTGCTCCCACAAAACCCCCCAGGACATCTGGCCATGTCCCGAGACATTTTGAATGTCACAAACGGGGATGAGGGCAGGGGAGGTGCATTCATCCTGCCAGAAATTTCACCAGTGCTAAAGATGAGAAACTCTGTAGACCAAGAATGTATTCTCTTCAAACCTCAATAAATTAGGGGCAGATACCTTAACCTACATATATCCCTTTAGTTCTTATAAACTAAGCAGCTGCTTTAACAGTATCCCTACAAACAGTTTTTAACCAAATATGAAATGGTTTGTCCTTTTTTCCAAGTGCCAGAGAACATGGAAATCCCTCCTGTTCACTATTCCCTCAACTAAAATCATCTGTCTTTTGTCAGAAAGGCCTCTAATCATAAGGGTAATTCATACGTAGCTGAACTTTTTACAGTATTTAAACATTTCTCCCTTGACCCTAAATAAGTGAATAGTGTAAAATAATATGGATACAGCAAAAATAAAATGAAAATTTCTGTGTCTTAGTAAAAGTCTTGGAATAAGCGTAACAGGAATTATCAACAGGAGGTGGACTGCACGTAAAATAAACACTTTGAAGGAAATATAATCAAATGGTAACAGAATGATCCAGGTGAGGGATTAGCCCTCCTGCCCCCAACACTCTAAGCATCAACCTCCTCAAGCAGCTTTCTTCTTATCCAAATTCAGACATCCTCGGAGAAACAGCAAAAAGGGAGGGCTTAGAAACTCTGTGTGTATAGAAAGAGATATATGTAGTGGAGAAAGTTCCTCGGAAACTAAGAAAAAGGCATTGGGGACCTGGATAATTCTTGTAAAGCTCTTAGCATAATGCCTAGCAGGTACTAAGTACTCAAAAGTTACTTTTTTATTGATATTTCCAGACCAAGAATCACCTTAGTTTCTAAGGGAAAAACTGTCTTTCGAGGTGTAAAGAGAATGATGGTGAGAAGTACGTGGTTATGAATGGAAACACAAAAGACAACTGACTCTTTAATTTAATCATAAATTATTACCATCCCTGCAAAAATTTAAGCATTAGAAATCCAATCTGCCTCCATCTCCCTGTATCCCTAAAAGGTAACACACTCTGGTTAAGTAGCTTTCCAAAGTTTATCGATTTACAAATATTGAGTTCTCCGTGTAAATATGTATTTACGTAGATTTTTCTTGGGTGGCTTTCCATGACAGTACGTAGAGATTTATCCCATTCGTTCTAACATATCAAGTCAGTCTTCCTAAACAAGCTGATTCTCAAAGTCAAAAGACTCCCGTTACTCCCTCCTAAACCTAAAGTGGATGGTGGGATGTAGAGATGGGGGGGGGGGGGTGGCAAACTGAGATATACGAGAGCAAACGTACCGTTTCCCTACCAGGGAGGTTTATTGGATGGAGGCCTAAAGGCTTCGTTAGAGAAGTCATCGTGGAAAAAACATCCACCCCGACGCGCCATCACAGGCACTGGATCCCCTTCCTCTCCACGACAAATCTAAGACCCTGTCTTTTGGAGCGCTACACAAACGACCCGGCCGAGCGCTCTCCGCAGGTCGTCCTCTTACTCTCACTGGCTCCAGGTTTGGTCCATCCATTTAACCGCGCAACTCCCTCATTCCCCCTCCGAGTCAAACCTCTGCCTCTCGGAGGAGCCCAACCTACCGCGCGCTTCGTGCTCATTGGCTCCGCGAGACGCTGCTCAGGAGGAGAAAACCCGCCTCCCACATTCCGAAGGCCCAAGGACCGAAAAGTCGACAGCTAAAGGCAGACCCAATTGGCCTATACACTTGCCAGTCAAACTCTTCGGCCCCAAAGGTCCAAGAATCTACTGAGACAAACATCCGCCCCTATTCTTCCATTGGTTGGCCCGACCCATCGCTCCCCCTTCACCAGCCCCCCACCCCACGGTCCATTCATTTCACACAATAACTGGCCCAATTGGAGTCGGTTCAAGACCTCATATGGGTAGGCAAGACTGTCCGCCACTTACCCAAGATCGACACCGATCACTCACGCTAATGTCTTCTCTGTTCCTCTGTGATGAGGCCAGACCACAAGCCACCACTGCCGCCGTCTTCTGCGCAACGCCAACCGCCCGCCAAAACGGATCGTTTCCTGCGCCTGCGCGACCAATCCTGAAACCAGGCCTTTTTCTCCGCCCACTACGCCTGCGCAAAACGGGGCACAACTCCCGCCACTACGCAGGCGCTATAAATTCACTGCCGTCTCCAGCCCGCCATTTCACGTGTTCCTTGAGCCAAGCGGAACTCCTTAATGCGCCTGCGTAGGCTCGCCATTTTCTTACACATGCGCTTAGCAGTTGCAAAAAATAAAATTGTCACATGCTATTTTTTTATACCTGGTATTAATCATGCTCTGACAACTGAATAGAATATAATATTGGAGGCCTGGAGGATTAAGAAGTTATTTAAATACCCTAGGTACATTCAAATATAAATGATTAGTTGGTTGGCCAATCAGATTAGTTAAGAATACTATTACTCGGAACCAATGAACTCCGAGGGGCGGAGACTACGTAGACCGCCCAAACGGATGACGTTAAGCAGCAATGCGACACCACAGGCCAATAGTAGCAGGACGCTATTTCAAGTATCCAATCATCGCTACTGAGGGGCGGAGTCTACCAATGCCGTCAGGGAGGAGGCGGGATAAAAAAGCGAGGCCGAAGGTAGGCTGGTGGATACGTTCGTTAGATTACTCCTTTCTGCCGGTGGACGCCTCTGAGTAAGCATCGGTGAAATCTCCTCTCCTGCGGTCGTCATGTCTAAGTCAGAGGTGGGTAAGATGCTCTCTCCAACTTAATTTTCTCGCCTCTTCCTGAGTTCTGAGGGATGCAGTTTAGATTGGCTGCTTGCGCCAGCCCATTCGGCAGTTCTTCGGTCGCGGCCTGGGCCTACCCCTCCCAAAGTTCAGGTCGCCATTTTGTCCTCGTCGTGGCCATGAGGCCGCCGTTCTGTAACCCTTAGTTATTACGCGAGGCTTGTTCCTCCCAGGAAAACTGGTAGGCATATTAAATCATATTTTTTACATTGTCTCAATAGGAGAGTTTTTTTAAAAAGCAGCTATAGTCCTTTTGGCAGTGGACCCCTCCCATTCAGTCCTTTTGTTGCGCGTGCGTCAAAGGCTGAGTAGGGACGCATGCGCTCGGGGTTTCCCAGTTCCCAACATACCATGTCCTCTGTGGGCAGAAGCACGTGGCTTGCTGCAATCCGAAGGAACAATAAATACTACGTACATACTGTCTAGTTTCGCTTAAGTGAACGGTATTTTACTTTATAGGCTCACTTAACGCTCCCCTCTCTCTTCCCCCTCCCCCATTGTTAGTCCCCCAAAGAGCCGGAACAGCTACGGAAGCTCTTTATCGGAGGTTTGAGCTTTGAAACAACAGATGAGAGCCTGAGGAGCCATTTTGAGCAATGGGGAACGCTCACAGACTGTGTGGTAAGACTTGGAGGAGAAAAAGGGGAGTAGAACTAGTTGATTTACTTAGAGCTTATGTTTTAGTTCCTGTCTGAAAACCTAATATTGTTACCAGCGTTATAGTTGGAAATAATCTGACAAAGGAAGGTGTGGCTTTAAGTAATTGAAAATCTCCCAGTAGATTTATATTAGATGGGTAACGGGAAACTTAAGGGCTTTGTATAAAGAGCTAGAATAGCTTTGTATTATCTCATATAAGATAAAGTCAGTAGTACTGGGCATCTTACTATGTTTTAAATTAATTACATCTCAGGTGATGAGAGATCCAAACACCAAGCGCTCCAGAGGCTTTGGGTTTGTCACATATGCCACTGTGGAGGAGGTGGATGCAGCCATGAATGCAAGGCCACACAAGGTGGATGGAAGAGTTGTGGAACCAAAGAGGGCTGTGTCAAGAGAAGTGAGTGATTTTTACCCCCCTCCCTTAAGTAGTCCTTTAAAGTATGTCACCAGGTGGACTTAACATTTGGGGATGGTAGGAAACTTGAATCTTAATTTTGGGAAAGGTTTTGCTAATGTAGTTAACTTAATTGGCTTCTTTCTCCTCTTAGGATTCTCAAAGACCGGGTGCCCACTTAACTGTGAAAAAGATTTTTGTTGGTGGAATTAAAGAAGACACTGAAGAACATCACCTAAGAGATTATTTTGAACAGTATGGGAAAATTGAAGTGATTGAAATCATGACTGATAGAGGCAGTGGCAAAAAGAGAGGCTTCGCTTTTGTAACCTTTGATGACCATGATTCTGTAGACAAGATTGTCAGTGAGTATCGGGTGACACCTTTGTTAGCCAAGGGTTCTGAAATCCTGGTTGTATTTTAAACACTGAGATTGTGTTCTTTTTATCTTCAAACTTTTAGTTCAGAAATACCATACTGTAAATGGCCACAACTGTGAAGTAAGGAAAGCCCTATCTAAGCAAGAGATGGCTAGTGCTTCATCCAGCCAAAGAGGTGGGTTTATTCCTTTTATTAAATCTTAGAGACCAATTCCAATATGTATGGTTTAACACAATTCATCTTTTGCTAAGGTCGAAGTGGTTCTGGAAACTTCGGAGGTGGTCGTGGAGGTGGTTTTGGTGGGAATGACAACTTTGGTCGTGGAGGAAACTTCAGCGGTCGAGGTATGTTTAATTATACAGGTTAAATATATAATTTGATTATATATTTAATACTTAAATGATTTATCCTTTATGCAATCTGGTTGTATGGTCACTATTTCCAAAATTACATTTTATCCAAATGTACTTTTGGCTTCTTGCTAACCAAAAGTTTAAAGCCTTATGTATGAAAAATTATTTTTGCAGTACTGGAATTATTTCCTAAAGTTTATATTTACAAGGCAGTAAGTTGTATGAAACTCATTTACTTGAAATGTGCTTTAAAATTCTGCTTTGTTCCAGGTGGCTTTGGTGGTAGCCGTGGTGGTGGTGGTTATGGTGGCAGTGGGGATGGCTACAATGGATTTGGTAATGATGGTAAGTTTTGTGGGTTGGTTTATTTAGGAATAAACAGATGAAAAGTTGGGTGTTTGTTTTTGGTGACCTATAGAATAGGTTGGTAGAGACTAAAACTCCAGTGCATGACAAGCTAAATTCTGACCATAACAGCATGTGAGCAGGCTGTTGCCCATTACGCTTAAACAGGTTTTGATTGTTGAATACTTTTGTCTTATTGAGAAGAATTGTATTCTTGTAGGTGGTTATGGAGGAGGCGGCCCTGGTTACTCTGGAGGAAGCAGAGGCTATGGAAGTGGTGGACAGGGTTATGGAAACCAGGGCAGTGGCTATGGCGGGAGTGGCAGCTATGACAGCTATAACAACGGAGGAGGCGGAGGCGGCTTTGGCGGTGGTAGTGGTAGGTATCCAGTGATCCAGGTACTTGGTGCAGTAGCTAGATTAGCCTCGTAGAATTTATGCCTATGTGGGGATTAGATGCATTATGTGGTACACTGCATGGTATTTTTTTTTTAATGGGCTTGCTATGCTACCTCCTAGCTTTAAGCTGGGGCCGCCTCACTCCCAAATAGATGAATAAGTGGATAGTGGCATCTTCCGCTGTTCAGCTGGAACTAGATTAGCTCTAGCAGGGTTTAGTGTCTTAACTTCTTTGGGACCATAGGCACTTAGTTGACGAATCCAGCATGTGTTTTTAGTGCTCCTGGATGGGTAAAGGGTCTTCAAGGCTATAGAACTTGGTCTATGTCATCATGGTGAGTTGGGTAAAATTTTCTTAAATACTGGATTATTCAACTGAATGTCTTGCCTGGAAAAGATAAAATACAAAAATAAACATTGGAGCCATCAGAGTTTGGGAGGAAGGCAGGCAGGTCATGCAACTTTTTTGTCCATTTTGAACACTAAATAGATTTCAGAGCTATCATCTTTCCCAAGTAACAGATAAAGGCTCTCTTTCCATTCCTAGGAAGCAATTTTGGAGGTGGCGGAAGCTACAATGATTTTGGCAATTACAACAATCAATCTTCAAATTTTGGACCCATGAAAGGAGGAAACTTTGGAGGCAGAAGCTCTGGCCCCTATGGTGGTGGAGGCCAATACTTTGCCAAACCACGAAATCAAGGTATAGTGTGGGGGGGGGGTGGAGGTGGTAGTAGAGGGCTAAGTGTCTTTATAACTCGTATTGGTAAAAAATACATAGTTTTTATTTTAGATGACGTGTGGGCAATAAAAGCCTGAGGAGGTTTTAAGAACACTTATAGTGGTAACTTTCAGTAAAATTGGAAATATCATCTGAGCTGAAACTCAGATTTGAACTGTATTTCCCCAGATACAAGTTAATACTGGCACTTCAAAAAGTTTAATGGAACAAACATTATTCTTAGGTGGCTATGGCGGTTCCAGCAGCAGCAGTAGCTATGGCAGTGGCAGAAGGTTTTAATTGCTGCCAGGTAAGTAAACACCTTTTTGTGTTTCGATTTAATTTTTATGATTGAAAATGAACCCAATAACCCTAATGTAGCTAAGCAGTGCAACATAGTTGTTAATGTAACTGCAGTAAAATTGTGGATATTAAGTTAATATTCAGATCAGCAAAATTTGTGGGAAACAACTTGATATTGGATTGTAGCCTTAAGTCTTAATATGTTTAGATTAACAACTTTATTCCATATTGTTCAACAGGAAACAAAGCTTAGCAGGAGAGGAGAGCCAGAGAAGTGACAGGGAAGCTACAGGTTACAACAGATTTGTGAACTCAGCCAAGCACAGTGGTGGCAGGGCCTAGCTGCTACAAAGAAGACATGTTTTAGACAATACTCATGTGAATGGGCAAAAAACTCGAGGACTGTATTTGTGACTAATTGTATAACAGGTTATTTTAGTTTCTGTTCTGTGGAAAGTGTAAAGCATTCCAACAAAGGGTTTTTAATGTAGTTTTTCTTTATTCTTTTTTTTTCTTTTTTTTTCTTTTTTTCTTTTTTTTTTTTTGCACCCATGCTGTTGATTGCTAAATGTAATAGTCTGATCATGACGCTGAATAAATGTGTCTTTTTTTTTAAATGTGCTGTGTAAAGTTAGTCTACTCTGAAGCCATCTTGGTAAATTACCCCAACAGTGTGAAGTTAGAATTCCTTCAGGGTGATGCCAGATTCCATTTGAAATTTATTTACAACCTGCTTGGGCACACAAGCCATTGTCTTCAGAAACCTTGGTGTAGTTGAATTGATAAGTTACTATGTTGTGACCTGGAGTTCACCATTAAAAGGGTCACCCAAGCAGAGTCATGGAGTCTATTTGGTTGTTAATGGTTGTTGGCACATCCTATGCGATATATCTAAATTGAATTATGGTACCAGATAAAATTATAGATGGGAATGAAGTTTGTGTATCATCCATTATCATGTGTAATCAATAAACGATTTAATATCCTCTTGAATGGAATGACAACTGTATGGATTTGGGACTGGCAGAGCTTTGGACTTTCCCTACCCACTACCCATGAATGTTGAATGCTTCTGTCACCAATTCAAATTCAAAACTTTGCCAGAGATTAGAAACCAGCTGCTGGTTAATGCAGCCCCAAAAATCCACAGATTAGAAGTGTTTGGGAGACGTATTTAAACCTAACAGCACGAGTAAGAATTTCTTAATCGTACACTACATTAAAGGAAAACTGCAGTTTATTTTGTTCTGGTTGGGTGGGTCTTTATAGAGACTTCAGAGATTTTAATCACACCAGTTGCCTATTTGGAGATTAACATTATGGAGATGTTGGGGAACCATACTGGTTACAAACATGCTAACTGCAGTTTTCCTTTAAACATGGCACAAGATCACATAACCATCCTAAAATGTTAATTGTATAGAAAATGACTTCTAAAGTTAACTTAATATCCCATGATTGTTATTTGTACATAGGTTCTTTTGAGCCTTCCCTTTGATTCCCTCAATTTCCGTGCCATTGTACCTACCTAGTAGCATAGAGATTTGTTTATCAGTAGGACTGTATTTCATCCTATGGGTGTGTTACTTGGAAGTTTGGGGAGGGGAGGGTGGGGGGACGTGGGTGGGAGGTGGATGCGGGTGGGAAAGCATGGATGGATGATACAGTTCCATGGGTTTGATATTGGCTGAGTTTGCAATGGCAGGTGGAACCTTAACTATTGAGGGAGTTTGCAGATACCTCAGGATTCCTGACAATGCCTTTAAAGATCCAGGAGAGATGTTCAGCTACTAGGAACTGCTAGCAAGTATAGCGCGAATGACTGCGAGCTCAGACACTCTACAGCTGAGAGTAGACACTTGTGGTATGTGGAGTACAGATAAGCCAGGGGCAGTCCACGGCACGCTCCATGAAAGCTAGGAGGGAGTGAAGTTTCAGTGACCATCGCAAGGAAGGAGGCAGACAAGAGTAAGGCACACCTGACTCTTAGGACTAGCATTCAGAACCAGGAGGAAAGGTTTTATTGCTATGCTGGTAGGTAAGAACAGATTTTACTTACATCCATATAGTTATCTAAAATCCAGTTTCCTGTTATACTTTCCTTAATATATTGAGCCAAAACTAGTCCAGTTAAGCTGAACTTGGTTTTCTGGAGATGGGTTATTTTATAAATTTATGCCCTAGTCTTAGTGGATCCCAATGGAAGGAAATGAGCACTTTATCTCTACTGTGAATAATAAATTTTTGCCCTTTAATTTCAACTTATTTCCTACCTTCCTTTGACCCATTTCCTTAAAACAATGGCTCAAAGTAAATGCATTACAATATTCCCCAAAATGATGGTGGGAGGGGGGGTGGGCCTCTAGTGGAGGGTGGGGGGTTTAGCCTGAGATGGGACTTGGTCACAGAGGAAAGCTAGTTCTAAAGATTGTTTGCTTTTCTAGGGAGGAGTCTGCTACTACAGGTTTTATCAACTGTATTAAAAAAAACATCTGTCCAAGCTTATGGTTAAAAGGTAAGTTTTCATATAAAGTAAATAGCAAGAGTACTTGCTATTACCAAAGTAAAGAGAATGAGCCTGCCTCAGAACCAAAAAGACTTAATATTTGGTCTCACAAAAATCAGTTAAAACACCAGGGCTCCAGGAAAGAGAATGGGAACCTTATCTGCTCGTGTTAATGCTTCATAACCTTTTTTTTTCTTCTTGCCAGGAGCATCCTTATGAGGACAGCATTTATCTGAGCCAGTGTGTACTTCATTTTCACTGCCATGCAGTTTACATTAGTTGTGCTGCAACTTGAGTTAATCATTCAGTTTTATGAATGGACTTTTTAAATAAAATGCTTTTAACTTGTTTCTGCTTATTTTCCTTTTCTCCTTTCACCATACAGTAAACAATATTGTGCATTTCAAGTTTGGGAACCGGAAATACAGGAGATAATGACATACCAGATGTTGCCTAAACAAAATGTTTTAGCGGGGTCAATCTGAAGGAGCAAGGTGTATAAATTGAGTTTATCCCATTGGCACCATCATAGTGGAATCTGAGAAGCAGGGTTATCACTGTAGGACTAAATCTTAACCCTGTTAGAAGTGAACTGTTAACTATTTTCTCCACTTACACATGCCCTTTTTCGAGCTCCCTTGGCAAGAGAAAAAGTTGTAAAAAGCCAGAGCTGCTGCCACTCAGTCCCTTCTGAGAGGTGTACCTATTTACATTCTGAAGGTGTGTAGTGGGTGTCATTTTTGGTGGACAAGTATGTATGGGCCAGCTATCTCGGGCTTCAAAAAAGTCGTGCCAGGGGTAAAATGAATATGGAAGGGGGAGGAAATCTTAGCTTCTCAAAGGTGATGAATATAAAATATTTTTAGAAGTAATTTCAACACTTTAGCAGGCACCTAACAGTTTGCCCTGCCATTTTCAAGAGAGGTCATCCAGCCTCATTTTTAATCTAACAAGGCCTGGAGTGGGCGGAGGGTGGTGTGGAATAGGTGTATGTGAATTCATAGGTCAGCCATCTTGCTACTTAAGGAACTTGTGAGTAAATGTGGTTTCTCGCAGTTTGGTGGACTAGGACAAGTGGGGGCTACCAGAGGCTAAAAGCATTTTTTAAATTTATTGGGATGATGACTAAAGGCATTCTTAATTGAAAAGTGTTAACTTTTTACGTTTTGTACATTGAGAAATGCTTACAAATTTACAAAAGGAAATAGATTCAAGGTAGTTAATTCCTTGAAGTTCTTGAAAACTAGTTCACTCCAAAACCATGTTCCACCTGCTTTAGCACATGACGATGTATATATGATGATCTTCACTTGCAGTGTCCTTTCCACTGTGCACCTAGTAGAACCAGAGCTTCCTAAGTGCTTAGTTTTTGTTGACTAAAAGATCCAAATTTGCCTCAATTTTGTGAGCCTGGTTAGAATGAAAGAATCAGTATGTCTGTTAGGTGGACTAAACTTTCTAAATAGATAACCCCAGGTCATGCCCTTTACAATTCAACCATTTTCAATTTTTTGAGCAAACAAGGTTGACAATTTGGAGTATCTTCAGATCTACTAGAAATAGCCTTCAACTACCTTCAATTCCCTAAACCTGGACTGGAAACCACTTCATACAGATTCCACATCTTTGATCACCTTTCTGCATTTGTCTCACAACTGTAGTGTCTAACCTGGAAGTAAGGTTTCCCTATTGGAATGGAGCTAGTAAAGTTGAAGAGAAGTATAAATAGCAAAATACCCCAAATAGGTATCTTATGTAATTCAGTCCCTGAGAAGATAGGGAACCACACAACTTAAAGGATACAGAAGTGTGGTGTCAGGTTTGATTGAACTTTGATGTGGCATCTGAAAATTACTCGTCTCAAAATTTTATGAAGAAAAAGTATGTTTGTATACACTAGTAAAAGAAGACACAGTGGAAGGCTCTTTCTGTAGAGGGCTTTATATACCAAAGCTCAGACAAGAGGTGGGAGGTTGGAGACCTGGGAAGCTGAATTACAGATTCCAGTCGCCCTCACATACTTGCCTCAAAGCAAGCCTATTAAACACACCTTGGACCTAACAAATGTCAGGTTTTTCATTGTAGTCCCCTTCTGGGCCTCACGGTCCTGTCCAAGAGCACCTTTATCAGAAGGGAATGAAGGAAATTTCCATCACCAGGTCCACCCTACTGGGCCAGCTCAGTCTGTAGCCTCTATCTTGGTCCCCCTGGGCACCAGGAATATGGCCCCATCAGGAGCTTGTTGCAACACGTACTCTTCAGGGGAGTAGTTGTTGCCCGCTTCATCACGCAGGTGCTGGAAAATGTCACAGTACAGCTCAGTCAGCTGTTGGCGCATCACCTCTAGGGTCCGGTCGGCCTCCCCTCGGGCCCTAAGCAGTCGCTCCCGCTCACTGCTGAGCCGCTCCAGTTCCCGCTCCAGCTGCACGATGGTCTCTAGCTTCCTCTTGCGACAGTTCTGGGCAGCCACCTTGTTCTTGCCCCTACGTCGAATGTCCCGGACTAGTGCTAGCTGACTTTCTGTCAGTGGGTACCGTGCCAACAGCTCGTTAAAGTCATCTACTGGCAAGTTGACAATCTTGTCCGTAGGGAAGGGGATCTTCATGGCCAGAGCCCGACGCTCATCCCTACTCCCTGCCTCCCCCCGTGCAGTGGGCTTGGACCGCACAGGGCCCGAGGAAGGCTGTAAGGCTAAGGGGGTCTCAGCAGGTGGCAAGGCATAGTTGGGGTGGGCCAAGGAGTTGGGCATAAGTGAGTAGGGGTACTCCACCGAGTACATCTCTACATACTCGCTGCGCCGCCGACCAGCCTCTGTCCCCTCCAGCTCAAGAGATTCAGCGTCACTATAGTTGAGGGATAATCCTGAGTCAGATTCTGGGTCTTCTTGGGGCTTGGGTGGCCCAGCTGGCAGCCCAATATCCAGGAGGGCTAAGGGGTCTGGAAGGGGCTCACTGAGTAGGCCTGAGAGGGTCAGTGGCTTGGAGACTGGTAAGGCAATGTTACCATAAGAGTATGGGGGTTCTGGAACATGAGTTGAGGGTACCGGGAGCTCATAAGGTGGTGGAGGAAGGGAGAAGGCAGCATCTGGGTGGATTGAGCAGGGACAATAAGTTGGGGGTGGCGGGGGCCCAGGGTATGGGGCTGGGGCTGGGGGCTCAAACGATGGCTCACTCGGAGCATTTAGGCCCTGCAAGAAAAGACATAAAGATGTTTGGAGACAGGCTGAGTGAGGAAGAGAGTCAGCTCTCTCGGCACCATGCTGGGTCCTTCTGAAAGACCCAGTGAGATAATAGCAAGGGAACAGAAAGGTGCTAAAAATCATTGAAAGCTTCTTCTAAAGTTGCAATGCAGCTATTTCAAGAAAAAGGCTGCTTAAACAGAAATGTAATCATTGAGGTCAGACTTCAGAAAGAACTAACATTACAATTGTGGAATCTCCTCCTCAGTATTTCTGACTGGGTTGAAATACCTCATGTTCTTTTATTTCTTTCAGAAAGACAAGGAGTTGTTTGTTATCCAAGATGACCCCTCAGAACCCTTTCCTGCTGTGGTTATCTAGGGTCAAAAGGTCAAGTTCAGATCTCAGCCATGTCCTGGGTGCCCAGCAGAGGGAGCTGCTATGTGGAAACAGAGTTTAGGGCAGATCCTGAAGGCCCATGCATGTAGAGAGAATGGGGGCAGGCTCAGAGCCAGGTCTGGGGGTTAAGAGTCACCTTGGGGAGCTGGCACAAGCTCTACCCTCTAGTCTGCAGTCCCTCTGTCCCTGCCCAGGTGCAGAGAGGAGAAAAGAACATGCTAGAAACAGGGCCCCCAACCCACATTGGGGAGCCACCCTGCTCTAGCCCAGCTGGGGACAAAGGCATCATTGTTAGGCCAACAGATACCCCTTTGTCCAACTAGCAGGAGGAGAGGACCCTGGCATAGACTGACCCCCCCCCCTTCCTGAGGCCCCTGGACTACTGCTCAGCTACCTGGGGGAAAGGGGCCCAGCTGCTGAGGGCAGGGGAAGAAAATGCAGGAAGAAGATGAGCAGAATTGGAGAAGGAGGTCAGAAGGGAAGAAGGTGAGAAAGGGAAGACAGAGCAGGAGGAAGGGTAGAGAGATGTGAACAGAGTGGCTGCTGAGAGAGATTACACCCCTAATCAGATCCTTCTCTCTCCAACACTCCTGTCCCCTGCTCTTCCACGCCCCTTCCCCTTAATGTTCTGGTCTAACATTTAGATTCCCCTGCTACTCTGGCCCTTTCTTTTCCAGTCCTTGGAACATTCCCAGCTTGAGACCCTGAGCCCTCCTAGTTCTGGCTGTCTGCTTCAGTCCCAGCTAAACTCCCTGCTTCTCTACCCCTCCCTTCCCCTGCTCCCCCAACCCTACTCACCTGCAGCTCAGTGATGGACATGATCTCTTGCCAAGTCAGTTCCATCTCGCCCAGCTCCGGGGTGGGCAGCTGTGTCACCCTATTGCTGCTCTGCTGGGGAGGACACGGGGGCATCCTACTGGGCCAGGGCCTGGTCCAGGGTCCCCCAAATGGCCCCAGTAACCTATGTCAAAGGATAAATGGGGGTTAGGGCTGTCCTGCTACGGGTCAGAAATTTTGTCCTGCCTGCCTCCATAGACAGGTTCTTTCTAATGTCACCTGAGAGAAGGAGAGATCTCATCCCCTCCCACTCATGCTGGACTCATCAACCAACTCCTTAAGCTATTGTAGAAAGTCTTTTTCTGTGGTGTGATCTCTACCTCACCTGCTATGGCCATAGTCAGTTCCTTTGGGAGCACATTAGGTCTTTACCTTATTTTCAGACAAGATGCCTTCTCTTTCCCCTATTTCTTTCTCCCCAAAACTGTATCACTGGCTGGGGCAGAAACCACGTCTTCTGGGGTTTTCCCCTCCATTTTGGGGGGCAACATCAGGGATCACACCTGCTTTCCTCTTCTGTTCTCAGTTTTAGGATCTCAGTCTTTTCTTCCCAAGATGAAAGTGAGTGCTTGGGGATCCCCAAGGAGTGTGTTGTGGGAAGAACCAAGCAGACAGTCCCTTGCCTTCTCAGAGATATGGCCCAGGCCTGCTGGCTGATAGCAGCCCTGCCCTCTCCTCCTATCCTGGCCCTGGACTCCCCTGCTCGGCCAGATAAGAGGTTTATCAGCTGCAAGCAGCAGAGGAGGAATGGTCTCTGGAGTCACTGGACCTCTGCCCTCTATCCCACAGGGTCATCTTGTCCATACCCCAACTCACAGCCAGGGATCTTTCCTCTTCTAAGGTAATATAACAACTGTAACGAAGACTTATTAAGTATTTGTCAAGAGCTGTGTTACAAGTATTCGTTTATGAGATTGACTTTCACAAAGATCCTGTAATGCCCATTCAGAAATTGAGAACCAAGTTGGTAAATAGCAGAGTCAGGTCTGGAACCTCTACTGAGTCTACTGACCTATATCACCTTTCAGGCACCTTCTCATCCTGCTTCTCTATCTCTGTACCCCAAGCCCTTAACGGTGGTCTACATCATCAGCTCTTTCTGTGGGATCTCAGTCTCTTTCCTCCTCTTCTGGGGAATATCTCTTTCGAGGCTTGAACACACATTCGGCACCCCACGCCCCCAGTCCCTTTTTCTTTTGATCTGGGCTGCAGCTGCAGTTCTGCCACAAAGTAGCAGTGTGATGTTAGGCAAGTCCTAGCACTTCTCTGAGCCACTGTTTCCTCATTTGTAAAACCAGGGTGTTAGACAAGTGGAACTTGAAGGCCCCTTTCTGCTCGGACAGTTTAACTTTCTCAGCAGGCCCTCACCTCTGCCTTCATCTTCTGTCTGTCAGCCTCCTCCCTGTTCTCTGACAGCCCTCTTCCCTTGCATCTGTTCTCCCTGCCTTTAGCAAAAAGTTCCAAGTAGATTCGGTAGGAACCTCCTGATCTCCTAGGGCTAGACACTACACCCCACTCCTGCCATATAAGTAAAAGCAGGCAGGCTAGGGTTGGAGGAGAATTATTAGAAAAACAAAGGATAGGGCAGAATGACCTCCAATTGCATGACCTTAGATTACCACAAGGATGGCCTATCACAGCTGTTTGATATGAAGTCTATACTGACTTACAACATAATTAGTGATAACTGCAAATTATCCTTTTGAAAAAGGATCTCCCCTACCTCTTGCCCCTAACCTGTTGTTCTATTGCCATCCCCAGAACTGAGAGGTGGTGTAGGCACAGGCCCTTGGCCAGTGGGCAGAATGGGTGGGGTGTTTATGTCTATCCAGGATGCCATTTCAACACCGGAACCCCACCCTCCCCCACCCAGGTTCTGGAGGAAATTGCCCAAAGGCAAAGTGAATGGAGAAGGGGTTTATGGGGCAGGGACAATGGCTCTTGCCTCATAGTCCTTCACACACACACACACACACACACACACACACACACACACACACCTAACCCCACCCTTTGTCTCTCTTTATATCTTCCCGGATCTGACTCTTAGGTGCAGTACAAAGACCCTGCCCTAGGAGGCAGGAGACAGGTTCTCTTGACTTCCAGATGCATGTGTGACCTTGGGCAAATTGCTTCATATTCAGTCTCTTGCATTTCATGGAAACAGGACTGAGGAATCTCATTGCTGTGAGAGACACTCAATTGTGTCTGTCTCAGGCAGTCACTAACTTTATTGTGCACCACATTCACCCAGAGTACTTGTGAAAACAGAATCCTGAACACCACCCCAGACTTACTGAATTGAATTCATAGGTGCAGGTACTCAGCAATCAGCATTTTAACAAGTGCCCTGGTAGTTCTGATGCCAGAAGCCAACTGCACCTTCAGAAATCCTAAACTAGTCCAATCATATGGATTTATCGAAAAAAACCACAAAGCTAGAAAGGAATCCGGCAAGTGATCTCTGGGCTTCTCCTAGCTTCAAATCCTTGACCCAGACAACAATGTTCTCTGACTGCCTCAATATCTGAGACTAGGTATCAGCCCCTTCTCATGAAGACCATGAGCTCAATCTCTCTCTCACCCTAGGACAAAGAAATGAGAATCCAGAAGAGGAGCAGAGGGAGGCAAAAGATTGGAAAAAGGGGAGTTGAAAAGAACGTCTGGATCAGCTCCAACCAGCTTTCTGATACAGTGGCAAGTTTGCACTATGTCAAAGGAGGGGAGTATGTTTTTGCCTAGACACTCAGCAATATTCTTCTATATACCAGGCTTGGCCCCTCTGAGCCTTAAGAGCCTACCCTCCTGAGGACCAGCCAAGTGTTTAGCAGCCAGTGGTATAAATCAGAGAAGAGGGTATAGTCAGAATTGGATCAAAAAGAACATCACAGAGGGTGCAGAAACTAGAGAGATACTGGGAAAGTGGAGGACTTCCTATGTCCCTTTTCTTTTACAATAATCCGTCCTCACTTCCCAGTTTAGCCCAAACTTGGTGGTCACACAGCCATCTTCCTCCCCAGTAATGTATATCAGGGAGGACTGGGGCCTTCTCCAGGAATTATAAATCTACTGCTTCATTCTCATCCTGATGGTCCTACCCAGAAAGATCTTATCACAATCCCTGAGTACTCACAGAATGACATGGGGCTTCATGCTTAAGGATACAGGATGAGAACTATTTAAAGAGGGATGCTGGGGAGAGGAAGACATTGCCCTCTACTGCTGCCCCAAGGCTCTAACTGCTTTGACAATGGGGAAGGGGTCCTTGACTCTGGGGTCCTGTTCTTTTTTTTTTTTTTTAAATCAACTTTAGAGAGAGAGGGGAAGGGAGAGAGAGAGAGGGAGAGAGAGAAAAAAGCATCGATTTGTTCCACTTATTTATGTGTTCATTGGTTGATTCTTGTCTGTGCCCTGACCAGGGATTAAACCCGCAACCTTGGCATATGACCAGCTAAGCTACCCAGGTTGGGCCCTGGGACACTGTTCTGAGGCTTATTAGACCACTCCACCTTTCCAGGTGTCAAAAGAAGCAGTGAAAGAATGAAGAGAGATCAGAGAAACTTGGGGTATGGAGTGGCAGGTGAGCAACCTACTCAGAAAGATTAGGAAGGACCCCCAAAGAGGGAGAGGGACACAGAGATGAGAGAGAAACAAAGGGAATGGAGGAAAAAGAGAGAGAGAGATTGAGTTGATCAGAGTGAGTTTCAGTCTCCTGGGATCATACATAACTCAAACAGTTATACGGAAACAAGAGAGAGAAGGACAAGTTTCTGCCATTCTGTCACTCCTTAGACCCCAAACTGCAGTCCTTTGAGGGTCAATGACTGGAGTCCCAGCCTCAGCCCCTCTTCTCTTCCACTGCTTCCCAGCACACTCCTTTCCTGCTGCCAATATTTCCAGTTGGAAGGAGTTACCCTGGGCGTGGGATACCTTTCTTTTCCTTCCAGTTCCAGCTGATCCCTATTGTCCGGAGAAGAGAAGGGGCAAAGGAGGCAAGAACTAGCATCCCCTACTTCCACCACCCTATCTTGCTGCAACGCCTCTCGGTGATCCAGATACACATCCAGTTCCTCAGCCTCCACCAAACTTTCCCAGCCAGCTGGACAGGGCAGCATGATGGAAAGGAGAGGAGAAGGGTGGTGCTATTTTCCCCAGGGCCACCAGCCTCCTGACGGGTTACTCAGGGTCATTCTCCAGACCCTCAGTGGTGCCTCAGGGGACCACTGTCTGGTCCCCATACACAGCTTTTCACCCCAAGAATCCCAGAACACTCCAGAAGCCACCTAGGTCTTCTCCCAGAGGAGTTCCCAAAGATGTCAAATTCCTAATCCAGGGGCAGCCTGGGAGGTCTGAGATCTCTTAAGAACATATGAAAGTTGGGTATTTTCTCCCTCTGCCTCCTCCACCTCCCCAGCCTGTCCAAGGATCCCACTGGAATCTCCCTCCCACCCCGCCCCTCAGGCACCTGTGGCAGGGTCCAAGCAGGGTGCAGAGAGAGATGAGGCTCCAAGTGCTGTCTCTGGGGAGGCAGGGCCTGGGCTGACACCTCCTGGGTGAGGATCCCTGCTACCTCCGAGAACCTGGTAGGTCTGTGCCCCGCCCCCTGGCCATTGCTGAGGCCTGAATGTGGAGGCTCAGACTGAGCACGGGGAGCTCCAGGGCGGTGCACCAACCTCCTCTCTGAAGCCCTGGGGCCTGACTTCTCCGTCCTTCCTCCAACCCTCCCCTTTCCCCGTGGCCCTCCTCTCCTCCTGCCCCTTCTGGCCAAGAGAGGAAACTTGAGCCCCGTGTGGTTTCTGCCCATACCCCACCCCCACCCTGATCCTGGCCAGCAGGGGCACACATGGCTCCAAGCCTCTCTCAGCCCTCCTTTTGCGCCCAGGAGTCCAGCCAGGTCTGTGTTTCTCCCATGCTGATGATGAATTCCAAGCTGATGGTTTACTCCAAAGTGACCTCTAAACTTTATACAAGTTGTAACCTCCTGCCCTCTGACCTCTTGACTCTCTTAGGAACAGGGAAACTGAGTCATAGCACAGTGGAAGGCAGCTGAAGAAAAAGACCAGGTCTCTAGTGTTCCAGCTGTTTAGGCAAGTGGGCATTTAGGGTAGTGCTTTTGTTTAAGGAAAGCCTGGGTTCTGGTAAAGGGGTAGGGGAGCTATTTTGGGAAGGAGGGGCAGCCGGCCGCTTTGATGTATCCTTTCACCTGTAGCCTTCTCCCCTCCCCCTACAGCCTCAGATGTCCTAGGACAAAGGCCTCTTTCTTGGCTAGGTTTGTTGTCAGTGTGAGGGGAGCTGGGGGCGGGGGGATGGCGCCCAGCGGGGACATTATTCACCTCCTTTAAAGGGGACCCCAGGTGCCCTCTGTCCCTCATTCTTCCAGGCAAGCCACCCCAGCCACATGTCCAGGCCAGGACATGTGTGTAGGATATCAGGTCTATCCCCCAGCACCCTCAGCAACTCTGTGTCAGATCAATACATACTCCTAGAAACCACTCATTCAACCCTTTGCCTTCAACACACAACCCAAGTCCAGGCCAAACAGATCTTTCTCCAGAGACTAGGAGAAAACAATCTTGCTTCCTCCTAGCTTTTAGTGGCTTTCAGGTCTAAGGAAATCCTTCCTATGTCTAGCTTCAGTACTTACAGCTGCAGCTTACCCTTTCTCTCTCTCTCTCTTTTTTTTTTCTTTCTGATGGTGTTCAAGTTAAATTGGAAACAGTTAAAGACTGGGGAGGCAGATCAATGCCACCCCAAGGCAGGTCTGGCATTCAGCCAGTATTCGTGGATAGCATTGTATTCACTGTTAAAATAATGAAAATGTTCTTCTCTCCCTGCACCAAAAAAAAAAAAAAAAAAAAAAAAAAAAAAGTTGTCTCAGTTGATAAAAAATAGCTGCTGGAATTCCTCCAATGTTCCCCACCACTACATCAGCCACCCCAATTCTCTCTCAGGACCCCTGACAACCGAGCAACACAACTAAGCAACTCAAGAGACAATGCAACACTGCCTCTTTACAGTCTCCTTGCAGACTGTGTGTGGGATTGATCAATGCCCATGCCAAACTCGTGGTTACATGTTTTGAATTCCATCCCTATCTCATGAGATCATGATTCTACATGAATGATCTATGTAATCCAGGAGGTGACCCGTGGCTTCATTGCATGTTATTTGTGGATTCAGAATCTTTTGATGACTTGGGCATGAATCTGGGTCACACACATACACATTCAGATATAGCTCTCTCACTTGCATACTTATTTGGGTACCTCCCAAATGATTAGTCGTAGTAATAGTCATACTTATGGCTGATTAAATAATGGTATCAAGTTACAGCTAGTCAACAAACATTTATTCAATGAAAACTACCTGTTCAGGATATTGTGGCATTGTAGATACAACTACAGATAAGACAAGCCTCATCATTCATTCATTCAACAAGTACTTATTGACTGTCCACTGTGGATTACACTCCAGGAACACAAAGATGAATAAGACGTAGTCTATATCCTCATTCATAATCTAATAGGGGAATTACACTAATAAAGGTCTATATAAAGTTCTATGGAGCTGAATTTCTGCCTGGTAAAATTTAGAGAAGACTTCACAGAAGGAGTGGCAATTAAACTGAGCTGTGGAAAATGACTAGGGGTTCACCAGGCACAGAGGTGAAAAGGGTATTTCAAGCAAAGGTGTGAAGGCCCAGAGACACAGTGTAGTACTTTGCGTTATGTAGGGTGGGGTGTAGGGGTAGGAAGCAGTAGAAGATAAGCCTGGGAAGTTTGACAAGCTAGATTGTAAAGTGTCTGGAAAGCTAAGCTAGAGAAGATGTATTTCATCCTGTAGGCAACAGGCATTTGCAGAAGTTTTTGAAGCAGTTTACTACTTATTAGGAAGACAGACATGGTCATGTAGGCTGAGATACGTGAACAGGCAGCCATCACTCAGGCAATGAGACAGGTGGAGGTATCTCTCCCACCTCACCCTCACTCACCTTCTGTAAAAAGAGGCCCTAACTGTGGTTCTCAGGATGTGTACTGCCTCCAGACACCCTTTACAGTCCTTGGGGTGAGAATGGTTCGTTAGACCCCTCCTCTCAGATTTCTTATGTCCTTGGTAGCACCCTTGTACCTTAAGTTTCCTTTGGTTAATGTACAATTAGCAGAAGATTAGGAGTCTGAATGGGTTGGACAGTGTCTGTGGCTTGGCAAGTTAGGATACCTAAGATTTTTCTTATCCCCTAAGATTCTCCCGTGGCAGCAAAGGTAGCAGAGACAGAACGTGAAGAAAAATGTAGCCACATCTTTACTGCTATACCATTCCCCATCCATGCTGCTCACCCATCCTCAAAAGACTGATTTCTTGTCACTCCTGCTCAATCCACCCCCACCCTCACCCTCACCCCAAAGCCTGTGCACACCACCAGGAGCATCAGGTCAAGCCACAAACAATGTTGCCAAACACCCCACTGGGTTATGCAACCAGCTTCCCGGGTAGGGCAGGGCGGGTAGAGGTGGAACCAGGGGAGGGCCTTGGGTCCCAGAAGGAGCTGACTGCCTTGACTGCCTGCCTGCTGGTCTGACCGCAAGGCCCCAGGAGGCGGGGGCAGGGCTGTCCCTTTATCAGTGCCCTGCAGGGTTGCACCCGCCACCCCCTGGCTTCCTCTCTCAACAGACGGAAAGGGGAGGCAGCCACAGGGGGCAAGGGGAGGGGTGGGCGTTATCCTAGGCAGCAGAGCCTGGCGGTTACCCCGGATCGCTGGAGGAGGTGGTGGAGGGGGTCTGGGACTAGGGAATAGTGAGGTCTCTCCTAATAAAATAAGCAGCAAGAAAATGGAGAATATAAACTGAGGCCCAGATGGTGGAAACAGACCTTCTAAGCAATCCATTGTTTTCCCTTTGTGTTCTAGTTTGGGTAAGGGTAAGATAGAAAAGTCTTTGAGGAGATTCCTTTCCACAGATAAGAATTCTCAGAGGATTGACTCAGGAGTTGAGAGGACACTGAACCCCACTCTCAGGCCAAAACAGCTTGCTGCTTTCAAGGGTCCAGGGAATTGGTAGGACTGAGGTTCCCAGACCTAGCATTGAAGAGTTACGCCTTTCTAGCAGAGCCCAGCACTGAACCCAAAATAGATGAAGGCTGATAAATAGGTCCAGAATAACCCAGAAGAAATAACCCCTGGGGCTTAATTCTAAATCTAGAGAGAGAAGTAGGTTGCATTGGAATATAGTAAAATGAGGGAGGACTAGATCTTGAATCTTAAGACTTGGATTTGAAACCCTGCATTTATTAGCTACGTGGCTTTGAGCAACCCAACCTTTCTGAGTTTTGTTTCCTCACATGAAAAATAGAGATAATGATGGTAATATCTATTTAGCGGAGTTGTTGAGAAAATAAAATGTGATTAATAAGAAAATTACTGTTATGATTAGGAGATGGCAGCTTAGAAATCTGGAGGCCAGAGTGCCTCATGGGCTTGAGGAACTGAGAACAGTCCAACTGGAAGCCAGATTATGGTAGAGAGAGAGATGCTTGGGACAGAATTAAAGCCAGTGAGCAGCCTGATTCTGGGAGAGAACTAGTACTAGGATGCAGCAGTGCTGGTGGGGGGCCACCGGATTGGGATTGCGGAGAACTTCCAGGAACCAGCCCTTAGGCCATGGCTCTCCCAGCCCAGCAATATTGGATGGGGCCAAGTTTGGCCACACAATTGGAACAGTGCCAGACTTTTAGGCTTCAGTCATCTTCCAGGAACCCCAGAACCCCTACCCTCACCCTATCCTGTTGCAATCCTCTGCAATGGGCAGAGCTACCTACCAAGTCCCGCCCTCTGTTCCTTAGAAGATAGAAGACTTGATGCCTATTTATTTCCTCCTTTTCATAAGTATCCTGTTTATTCCAGCCTATCTTTGCTCTTGCTGCTTCCCTCCCCAAGAATGCTCTCCTAGGCCTATTGACCAACCTGAGGTTATATGGAGTAGAAGAGACACCACGTTTGAGACTCAGCTCAACACTTAACAATGAGGATTTGGGAAATTATTTAACCTCTTTGAGTTTCAGTTTCACCTTGGTAAATAAGGAGAACAGAACTTCCATCACAAGTTTCTGTGAGGAATCAGATGAGACAATATACATACAGTGTTTATTCAGGAAGTATATCCATGTTGATTCCCTTCCTCTGTTCCACTCTCCAAGGCCCAGTTCAAGTTCAATCTTTGCAACACTTTTACTGGCTACTTCAGACCATACACATATTTCTCTTGTCTAACTCCTTTTGCAATTATTATATGTAGCAGAGAATTAATAACCTCATTTAAATATTTTACATTCTAATTGAATCATATTGTGTCTTATTATATCATCCTGTAATAGTGGTGGTACAAACTGTACTGTACAAAATTTGTCTCAAATACCTTAGTATAATGGTTAAGAGCATGGGTTTTAGAGTCAAAAAGGCTTGAACTCAAATCTTGGCTCTGACAGTCACTTTGAGCTCTCAAGCAAGTTCTTTAATAACTCAGAGATTATTTTTACTC